GACATCAGGCTCGGTCTCGATCAAGCACTCGAAAAGAAAAGCCCAACTGCACGCGAGGGTTTCTTGCGTCGGCGGCTAGAGGCCCCACACTGGACCGCTGGGCCCAGCGTGCTTACCAGCTGGCCAGCAGGCGCGCGCGGCCGTCTCCTGGGTGGGAAGGAACACGTGCTCCATGCCGGCCATGGAGGAGCGCCCGGCGTCCGGCGTATCGTCACGCTCAGCTCGTCAGCACGCTGCAGCACAGGACGTCACTGCAGGCTGCCGCCCGCCACCACCATCCTCATGTAATACGGGGGCGTGGCTGCAGGCCGCCGCCGCTCACCACCATCTCTGTAATACGGGGGTCGTGGCTCAGGCCGCCGCCCGCTCACCACCATCCTCATGTAATACGGGGTCGTGGCTGCGGCCGCCGTCGCCTACCGCCATCCTCATGTGATACGGGGTCGTGGCTGCCGGCCGGCGCCCGCCCACCACCATCCTCATGTAATACGGGGCGTGGCTGCAGGCCGCCGCCGCTCACTACCATCCTCTGCCATGTGTTGGTCCTTTGTACTGTCAGCTACAATAGTGGGCGCAAAATGACCCTAGAGTCGACGCGCCCTAAAACCCCAATCACACCATCAGCTATAAATAGCGCGGGTGAACGACATTAGGGCAATAGGACTGACAGTTTCTTTGCTGTTTGGTATTACTATCCCAACAACGTGGAGGTACCGCAGCGCGATGCGAGAGCGAGAAGGGCCACAGGTACCGGGTGTTAGCGGGATGGCGGTAGAGGCTCCTGGTACCGTGCTGTTAGAGGGACGACAGCAGAAGGCTCCTGGTACCGTGCTGTTAGCGGGACGACAGCAGAAGGCTCCTGGTACCGTGCTGTAGCGGGACGACAGCAGAAGGGCTCCTGGTACCGTGCTGTTAGCGAGATGGCGGCAGAAGGCTCCTGGTATCGTGCTGTTAGCGGGATAGCGGTAGACGGCTCCTGGTACCATGCTGTTAGCGGGACGACAGCAGAAGGCTCTGGTACCGCGCCGTTAGCGGGATAGGGGTGTAGAGGGCTCTGGTACCATGCTGTTAGAGGGGACGACAGCAGATGGCTCCTGGTACCACGCTGTTACCGGGATGGCGGCAGAGGGCTATGGTACCGCGCGTTAGCGGGATGGCAGTAGAGGCTCCTAGTAGTGGACCGTGCTGTTAGAGGGACGACAGCAGAAGGCTCCTGGTACCGTGCTGTTAGCGGGACGAAGCAGAAGGCTCCTGGTACCGCGCCGTTAGCGGGGATGGCGGTTAGAGGCCCTAGTACGTGCTGTTAGAGGGACGACAGCAGAAGGCTCTGGTACCATGCTGTAGAGGGACGACAGCAGAGGCTCCTGGTACCGTGCTGTTACGGGACGACAGCAGAAGGCTCCTGGTACGTGCTGTTAGCGAGATGGCGGCAGAAGGCTCCTGGTATCGTGTGTTAGCGGGATAGCGGTAGACGGATCCTGGTACCATGCTGTTAGAGGGACGACGACAGCAGAAAGGCTCTGGTACCGCGCCGTTAGCGGGATGGGGCGGCAGAGGACTCTGGTACCACGCTGTTACCGGGATGGCGGCAGAGGGCTCCTGGTACCGCGCCGTTAGGGGATGGCGGTAGAGAGGCCTCCTAGTACCGTGCTGTTAGAGGGACGACAGCAGAAGGCTCCTGGTACCATGCTGTTAGGGGGACGACAGCAGAAGGCTCCTGGTACGTGCTGTTAGCGGGACGACAGCAGAGGCTCCTGGTACCGCGCCGTAGCGGGATGGGGGTAGAGGGCTCCTGGTACCATGCTGTTAGAGGGACGACAGCAGAAGGCTCCTGGTACCGTGCTGTTAGCGAGATGGCGGCAGAGAGGACTCTGGTACCACGCTGTTACCGGGATGGCGGCAGAGGCTCCTGGTACCGCGCCGTTAGCGGGATGGCGGTAGAGGCCTCCTAGTACCGTGCTGTTAGAGGGACGACAGAGAAGGCTCCTGGTACCATGTGTTAGAGGGACGACAGCAGAAGGCTCCTGGTACCGTGCTGTTAGCGGGACGACAGCAGAAGGCTCCTGGTACCGCGCCGTTAGCGGGATGGCGGTAGAGGGCTCCTGGTACCATGGTTAGGGGACGACAGCAGAAGGCTCCTGGTACCGTGCTGTTAGGGGGACGACAGCAGAAGGCCTGGTACCGCGCGTTAGCAGGATGGGGTAGAGGGCTCCTGGTACCATGCTGTTAGGGGACGACAGCAGAAGGCTCCTGGTACCGTGCTGTTAGCAGGATGGGGGTAGAGGGCTCCTGGTACCATGGGTTAGCGGGATGACAGCAGAGGCTCCTGGTACCATGCTGTAGAGGGACGACAGCAGAAGGCTCCTGGTACCGTGCTGTTAGCGGGACGACAGCGGAAGGCTCCTGGTACCGCGCCGTTAGCGGGATGGGGGTAGAGGGCTCCTGGTACCATGCTGTTAGAGGGACGACAGCAGAAGGCTCCTGGTACCGTGCTGTTAGCGGGACGACAGCGGAAGGCTCCTGGTACCGCGCCGTTAGCAGGATGGGGGTAGAGGGCTCCTGGTACCATGCTGTTAGCGGGGTGGCGGTCGAGGGCTCCTGGTACGTGCTGTTAGCGGGACGACAGCAGAGGGCTTCTGGTAGCTGTTAGTGGGATGGCGGACAGCACGTACCGGAGCTGGCGCCGCCTCCAGTCGGCCATCCACTTCGCGCAGGTGCCGCCCAGACACGATTGGCTTTTGCAGCAGTTGGTCAAGACCACACACCCGTTGTCGGCTGCTGTCTGAAGAATGGGACGGGTGGTTTGGTGACATGGGTAAGTTGCACGGGCTGGAACTCGGGGCAATCCTGGAGGGTAAACTTATACAGATTATAGTAGCTGATTAAGTCAGGCAAAAATATGAGCAAAGGATACTCAGTGTAAAACTGGCATTTGTGACACATCATTCTTACCAAATCATATTTCACCGAGCTATTTTTGGCATGAATGAGCCATGGTGTGTAGCTGTTTAGCTGTCATTGCCCCATCAGCTTCACATAATTTTTTGGCATAAGGAACATGCGACTCAGGTTGTGTGGTATACTGGTATGCATGGAGATACAGTGAGTGACCATCACATTTATAATTTGCATGCAACAAGCAAATGCTAACCTACATTTGCAATCCAATCAGCATCCAGTAAATGATAAATAAGCTGTACTTATACCTTAATGCCTTAATCAAACTAGCTGTGACCAGCAATGTTCAATTGTTCTTGAAGCTATCTTTGCTCACTCTCACAACACACAGTGCATGACACAGTGATATGTCACATCCTATGAGTCATAATGAACACATTGGAGAGCAGCTCCCCAAAAAGCAGACCCATGGGTAGTTATCATTCATACATCTCAACAAGTTGCAACTTACATTGATGGTTCAAAATCTCCATGACCAGTTTTCAGCCTGAGAAAGGGTCAAATAATTAGTGTCACTGTCACTTCTTATGGCTAGCCTTCATGAATGACTAAAAAGCCATCACAGCAGTTCTGAAAACTGCCATCAAATTTAACCATAATATATATGCACCTTGCTAGCCAATTTGAAAAATACATATTCAATGTGATGGTTGCCTCTGTGATATCAGTGTGCTGAGCTATCCACTCTCATGTGCCTAACATAGGCCTGGCCAGATTGCGCTAAATTTGCAAACTACTTTTACTTGAAACATTGGGAGTATTTTTCCTTGAACTTAGCTATGAAGCATCAATTTTTTGGCACTGGCAGCCTCTGTGCACTTAAACTGATGGTGACAGTGCACCAAAGCCTTATGGGCACAAATCAGTTGCATGCATGAACTGAAATTGTTGCTGAGATGATCCTTTAACACTGGACACATTCAATGCTACATGTGTCTTTGCGGTCTCAGTTGTTAAGATATTTGAGGTGATACAGCTATAACCTGCAAATGACAAAATTAGCAAAGTTTGTCTAAGATATGCATATAAATTGATCCATATGTGTTCTAAGAGAAAACTATGAAAATATATAGCAACACCACAGTACTCCATCTATTTGATGAAGAACCGCTCCCACTGAGCTACTGAGGACACCATTCAGCATACCTGGCACATGCGTCAAAACCCGGGGAAGCTTGACCATCATGAAATGGCAAAAACATTTCAACTAACAATTACCATCCCAGCATGCAAATTTCCTTTTTTAAATCAATGACAACGAAAAACCGGTCTGGCAATGGGTCACATTTACCCATATAACGTCTTGACAAGATTTGGTACACATTATCTAATCGAGCTAACGTCCAATATGGCTTAAGAAAACATTCCTTTGACTCAGCAAATATCATACCCCCGAGCACGGCGGATACGAGCCTTCCGCAGGGTGGACTTGAGAGTAGAGCGCGGCCCAGATCAGGCACATTCACAAACGTCTGCTAAGCGACCTCCTTCGCGCCCAGCTGCGAGAGGGACTAAACAGTTGACCAAATCTGTTGGCAGCCCCAAGCTCTGAGCCCATGACACTGATCAGCATAAAATATTCGCCAACCGATGTGCCATAGTCGATATCCTATCAGTTTATACTGAAGTGGCCTTGGGTCAGGTCAAAGGTCATCAGAAATACCAAAAACCGGAGAAATAAAGTTGCAGACAGCCCCACCATGCCCGAACCTATGGGACTGATGGGCACAAAATTTGACCAGCCGATGCATAATGATTGCTTTCGTATCCTTTCTTAACATGATGACCTTGCGCCAGGTCAAATGTCAACAAAAAGGTCCAAAATAACCCAAGATTAGTTTACAGACGACCCTATGCTCCGAGCTTATGGAACCAATCGTCACAAGATCTCCACCAATCGATGTGCAATCATCGATAGCCTGTTGTTTCCCGAACATGGTGACCTTCAGTCAAGTCACAGGTCACCAAAAAACGGCCGAAACCACCTAAAGTTAGTTGGCAGATAATTTTATGCTCCGAGCCTGTAGCACAGATGAGCACGAAGCCCACACTGGTCGATAACCAACCTTCTCCAGAACATGGTGACCTTGGGTCAGGTCGAACGTTACCAAGAATGGCCGACACCACCGTGGGGATTGTGTACAACCCCATGTTCCCTGTTTTATTTTTGGCGACCTCCGACCTGACCCAAGGTCACTAAGTTATTATGCTGAGCAGTGCTGTGGGCGCGGAGCAAGGAGGTTGTCTGGAACCTTCTTCCTTTTTGTATTGTTGGTGACCTTGGACCTGACCCAGGGTCACCATATACCTGTGATTGGTTATCGACCAAATGACATCGAATGGAGATGTAGTATCGGTCGGTGCCATAGGTGCGGAGCATGGGGTGGTGACAGGTTAAGTCGGCTATTTTGCCCTTCTTCCTCCCCCCCCCCCCCCCCCGTTTTGGCCATTCCGTTTTTCGGGCGTATGCATGTTTCCAAATTCCTAGAGACTTTTCCGATGAAATATCTCAAGATAAACCTGAGAGTTCTAGCCGGCCGAAACTCACCAACATTACTGCCCATAAGCACGCGGGGCCAAACTGCGCCACGCGTGAATTCTTGTGGTGGGGGCGGGCAAGCGGGGTCTGCGTGGTTGCCTGTGCTTGGTGAGGAGTGCGGTTGTGGGAGCGGTCGTTCGCGTACATGTGGGTTGTTTGTGATGTGCATTGAGGGTGTGGTGCTGATTTGGATATTACTGGAGTCCTGGACTCCCCAGGCTTGCCATATTTTAACTTGGGACCGGTGGCGATACGTGGAAAAGAAGGCATCGATGCCGAAATGAGGATGTAGACTACACGTTCAGACTCCGGAAAGCTCTTCACCGTAGAGCCTTCCCCACTCCCACAACCGGTGAATCGTGGGAGATTTTGGCATGGGTTTAGGAACGTATTCGATATTACTTTTGGACGTCAAATGGTCAAGTTCACCCAAAAGTTAATCTGTGAACGGCAGTTACCGTAATTTCAAGTAGCTCTGCCCTCTGGAGTAAACTAACTTGTAACCAAGTTTTGTGAAGCAGAATTACTTATATTGGATTTTGTCAACAAGAAGCACATTCTGACTGACTGAAAAGTGTCATTGGATGATTTTGTAGGAATAAGAAGTGATAGTTTGGGCAAATTCACACACAGAGGAAGCTTCTGAAAGGGATGAGTTCCTGATAGGGATAGTTAAAGAATGAGCTTCAGTTGTCCTACACCCTGTTTTTAGGGACAACCTGTGTCTGTTCTAGGTTTGTGTGCATTCTAGGTTTGACACATGTGATTATATAATCAGGGTCATTAATGTTCATGCTCATTGCTCAGTAATACTGCTGCTAATTGCATAGGCCTCAATTATGGTGCAGTTAGGAACCCACTATTCTTTTTTGCACATGATCCCTTGTCAAATTCTGTGCATCTGTAGCTTGGCTGCTCAGTGCACTTCTGATGATGAATGATGGTTTACATGGTCTGTTTCAGGCATTTAATGAATGGTGCTAGCCAGAGTTGGAGTCTGTCACCATCCTTGCAAAACAAGTGATACAAAGCTGGCTTAAACTAAGGATGCCTGCTCTGTGGCTAGATCGCCTTCCTCTTCCAAATTTGCCAGCATACACTGCTATCAGTGTGGCTCTTTTGCTTTGTTCAGTGTACTTTGCAGTCACTACTCAAGAACGATTTGAGAAGGATGCGTGTGTCCCAAGTGACATTTACAGAGGGCATTGAGAAGCTCTGCTTGCTACCATGGTCTGACAGACCAGAGCATGCCCTGAAGACATCTTCCAAAGAATATTTATTGTTTCTTAGCTCTTATCACAACCCAGCAAGCCCTGCTACAGAACTTCATGAAGCACAAGCTGAAATCAGACTTTCTGTACTGGCCAACAACAGTCTCTGCTGTAGACCTTGATTACTTTAGCACCCATAGCAACAGTGCAAGCTCGAGTGTGTTCTTTGCACCCAGTATTTACTACAGTGATACAAAGATGTGGCACCAGGGCCTTCCAGTTTCAACTGTCCAGTCAAAGTTTGTGAAGACCTTGGCATTCATGATTCATGAACCCCTGTGTGTGTGGGTAAGTACTGAACCACTGCCATGACTGATTAGCAATGCACTGCCTATTTTTGCATTTTAACACAGCTTTTGTACCTGCATCCTTGTTTAATCGTTGTTTTTTGCATTATTCTATGTTTCTCTTTGTTTTTTTTCTATGACTTGTGTCTAAGCATTGAATGATCAGCCATTATAGTTGCACATACCACTGATTGAAGCAACATTGTATCTGAACCGCAGCTAATGCCTGACATTGTAATTTGTGGTTCTTTGTTTTGCAGACCCTGATCAACATGGCATACTGTCTGCTTGTTTTGCTGGGGAAGTCCATTCAGCAGAGCATGTTTGGTGAACTGCGTGTTTCGGAGCAGACGCAGCTCAAGGATAAGTTCTGGAACTTTGTCTTCTACAAGTTCATTTTTGTGTTGGTGTCATCAATGTCCAACACATGGATGAGGTAAGCATATCTTCATACATATCCACTTGGAAAATGTGCATACAGGTCAAAGTTCAGCTTCTGTTCAGAGTCCAGAGTCCTT